GCCAAGTTAGTCGGAGCCTCCCACGTGATACACGATCTTGTATAAACAAAACACGTGTAAGCTCCCTCGGGTTTCTTTTCATTCATTTTTCTCCTTGCTGCCAAGATGTAATCTTCAAGAACTCCCGTCTTGACCATGCAGTCAGACGTTAAAGACCATTACCAACATTCACACAAGTACAAACTCTGAAATCACTTCTAAACTTTTACCAACTTGTACAATATACAATTCCAAACATGCAACAACTCATTCCTCTACAGTTTAATAATCAACTTCTTCTTTATGAGCTTAGGTACAAATATTACCTAGTCTAAGAGACACAACTCTGTCTAACCTTTTCAGTTCAAATGCATGTACATCAAATACTTAATAAATTCAATTGTTATGTTTTGAAATCATTACGCTCAGTTTTGTATTTTATGCTATCAGCTATTTACGTCAAATATAAATTGCATTGCATCCACTCATTGTCCTTAATCCCACCTTTCCTAGCCAAAGTTAAATATATGTGGTACACGCCCTTACAATATTGGTAACACTGCCGCTACAATATTACTTCAAAAACCTTCTGAAGCTACAAGTTTGTATGAAAGATATTTTCAGCTTTCTAGAATTTCCTTTAATCAAATATTCAACTTTGCAACTATTTGACAAAGAACATTTCTTTTTAAAACTTATCTTTTTATCCACAGACAAAATTCTTTTCTGTGAGCTTAGATAGAAATATTTCCTTCGTAAAGGACTCTAAGAAATCCCAGTCAAAAGGGAAGTAACTCCTATGCTTGTATGTCATTGACATACGTAAAAATATGAATATTGTTTGTTATTGTAAAAACAGATTTTGGGTTGCTTCTATTATTTCATATTTTGTGGTATTTTGTGTAAATATGAACTCATGAGGTCACTTCAACAAACAGGCTTCTACAAAGTCCCCAAAGGATGAAACGTGTCACACAAGAACTTTTCCACTTTGTCACATATTTTTCCCCAATGTTGTTAAATATGTATATATCGTTATCTCATATATATTATCCTCTCTCTCTCTCTCTCTCTCTATATATATATATATATATATATATATATATATATATATATATATATATATAAATATTGAAGTCAACACTAGAGGCTTGGAGGGCTGTTTTATGCTGGATACAATCGTCATGCCTGGCAAACGCGTCTATCATGAAACAACCTGTCGCCTCTAAGTGTTGACTTCAATGTTCACTCTTATATTTACACACGCTCTATCTCTGATATTGAGCACTTTATCCCATAAATATGCCACACCTTAAGACTATATTTCTTTATATATATTTAATATATTTTCTGTTTATACATTATTTTTATAGATATAATTTATTTAATTAAATGCTTTGTTTTTTAATTAAACATTATTAATTATATTTACCGGCTTGAATGTTTGGTTCTCTTTAGTGTATCTTATAAGTCATTCTGTTTTTTGTTTTTCTCCTCAACAGGGAGATGGCAATATTCGATACTACGAACTGGTTGGAGAAGCTCCCTACTGCCACTATCTCAATCAATATCAGTCGTCCTCTCCTCAAAGAAGCTTGGGTAAATATTTAATATTTCTAATCTTCAGAATGTAGATGATCATGACTCTCCACAGATTCCTTTTTCTTTGTTAATTGGAAACTTCCATGACTTCCTGGAAAAGAGAAAGGAGTAGTTGACAGCATATCCCCAATGTTGTCTTCTCTGGATTTTTTTTTTTAATTCAAATTGTTCATCTCTTAGATTGGCTACGAAAAGGGAGATTACTCTTCTATTTTCATGCAAAAAATTTTTTAAAAACTAGAATTTTTTTTTGCAACACGCTAATGCGCGTTGAAATCTTCACTATATTTAGCATTGATTAAATTGTTTTTAAAATAGTGTGAATATTTTGTATGTTAAATAATAAGACTTTTAATTTTTCAAAACGCATTAAGGAAAATTTATTGTATTAATCTATGCACCCTAGTAAAACCAACTGTACAAATGTACTGTGCAAATAGGTAAGAAGGAGGTTACAATGTAACAATAATGTAAATAATGTATTTAGCACCAGTTCACAAGATTTGAAGAAGTGTGGGCTTCACTTGCTGGAAGCCATTTTTAACCATTGATCTTAGAAATGTGTATACAATTTTTTTTTTTTTTTTTTTTGTTTTAAGTGTTTCACCCCAAGCAAGGCAGGAAGCCACTAGCATGCAAGGGGTTACAGAGAGTTGGAGCGAGAGCAAATAGGAGTGATAGAGAAAAGGATGAAGAGAAGGATAGGGGATAGATCAAGGCATCTGGAGACATTGATTGACATTACATTTGAATAGAGATTATAGCTATCGGGGGAAACAAGAAAAGGGGAGGGAGTTCCACAGGCAAGAGGTGTGAGACATGAAGCTATTGGAGTAGAAGAGACGGCTACATTTAACAGTTTTGACAGTGAAAGGGTGAGAGCGAGATGTCAGCCTAGTTGAATGCTTAAATTCATGAACCAGTGAAAGCAGCTCATCGGAGCAGTTACTGTGAAAGTATTTGTAAAAAAGACAGAGGGAGGTGATGGCATGTCTGTGAGAGAGCAACTGCAGATGAGATGCCTGATCAGGGCCAATTACATTGCATATCCATCTCTGGATTTTACCAAGAACCTTGAGACAAACAGAAGGGGCTCCAGACCATATATGACAGCAATTTGAAGGATTGACTCTGGTGAGAAAAATTTCCTGGGAGCCAACTTTCCTTGCGGTGGACAAAGCTATTGACTCAATGTATTTGTTCCATCTCAGGTCAGCAGTCAATGTGAGACCGAGTAGTCGCAAAGAGGTGCTCCCATGGAGTTGCGTGTCAGACATTCTAATGGGGGTGCAGGGATGGTGAGTAGTAGAGAGCAGTTTTGTTTTTGAGGCGTTAAAGTTAACCAGCCAATTCCATGTTCCACATCATGTATGAAATGTATATGCAAATGTACTAATGATTATGGACAGAAGCAACTTAATAACATAATGCACTGTCCCATAATAATTGATCCATTTTATGTATAAAAAGTATATGCAAATGTACTAATGATTATGGCACAGAAGCAACTTAATAACATAATGCACTGTCCCATAATAATTGTTCCATTTTGTGTATAAAATGTATATGAAAATATACTAAAGATTATGGGACAGAAGCAACTTAATAATATAATGTCACTGTCCCATAATAATTGTTCCATTTTATGTATAAAATGTATATGCAAATATACTAATGATTATGGAACAGAAGCAACTTAATAACATAATGTCACTGTCCCATAATAATTGTTCCATTTTGTGTATAAAAGGTATATGCAAATATACTAATGATTATGGGACAGAAGCAACTTAATAATATAATGTCACTGTCCCATAATAATTGTCCAACTTCATGAATGAAATATATATGCAATTGAACTAATGATTATAGAACAGAGGGAGTATATTTTTATGTGGATGGTATTAACAAAAATATTATTAAACATGACAAAGTAGAGATGTTGTCAGATGACAACAGACTTTATGTTGTAAAGAAGAGAAGTAATTAATTTAAATAATTCAAATAATTTTTTGGAAAAATCTTGGTAAAAAATATTTTTTTTTTTTTTCAACTGTTACCCCCACTTAATTTTATCAAATCATCAATTTTTTTTTTTTTTAACAGTTATTTATTTGCTGAAAATCTGCTCCAAATCTTAAAATAAAAAAAATGCAGTAAAACTATGACATTATTTAATTAGAAAAGCTTTTAATTGCTTTTATAAATAACATATATTAAGGATACTATTGTCTTAAGAAAAAAATTTTTTCAATGAATAATGATTTTTACAAGAATTTTCATTTTTTAAAAATTTCAGTTATAATTATTTATAAAGTTTTAAATCTTTTAAAATTCTGTATAAATTTCTGCCTTTTTAGATTTTATTATTAAGTAAAGTATATTTACTAGTCATAAATGGAAGAGTTTAATACAAATTATCATGCACTAAGATTTTTAAAAGAATTTTGAATTTTTTTTTATTAGTATATAAACATTCCCATTTTTGTAAGTATAGTTAACCATATCATAAAATAAGAGCAATGACTATAGTAATTTTAAATTCAGTAAAACATTAGATTAGAGAGAAGATTTTCCTAAATTTTTAAGATTACTGAGTACTAAAAAATTATTACAAAAGACACCTACATCACTTTCTTCAATTATGTTTTACTACAGATAAAGCCTCCATACAACAACATTAGATGTCATCATGCTATCAAGCATGTCAATATGGCTACTGTCAGCTTAAAAACACAGCTACTGTCAGCTTAAAAATGCATTTCTGCAATATTTTAAACTTAATGTAAATAATATTTGTTTCAAATCAGATTAATTATACTTTAAATCAGCTAATATTCCTCAAATAAAGTTTCAGAAAAGTATATTTTACTTTTGGAATATTTTTTAATAAAGAGAATTGCATTTTGATTGAAGACAACTAAAAAAGAGCACTAAACAGCTATTTTAGCCAAAAAAAAAAAGCAAAACTCCTTCCAGTCAATTTAAATTAGTTTTTGAAATACCACAAAGTATTTTGCTTATTGGAAATATTAAATTTAATCTAATTAGCTTGTAATTAAAACTAAAATAAAAGTTTCAAAAATAATTTTTTTCATTTTTTTTTTTAAATTCATTTTAAACTTTAGGTATCTTTTATTTCTGTTTTTTTGTGGAGGTACCTACACTAAATGTACCAACTATTATTGAACAGTGGTAGTACAAATTGACAAGCACTACATTGGTTATATTCTAATTCTTTTCTTTGTTGTTCTCTGTTAAAAGGATTCATGCCCAAACGAGGCTGTGATGCTAAGCGCTGTGAAATTGTTCGCTTCTACAAGCTCCACACTGCCAAAGATATCGTAGAACCAATTTCGATGATAGTCCCACGAAAGGTAAGGCACATCTCACGTAACGTTTTTTCCAAAAAACAAATCTGTTTACCATTTGGAAAATATTGTCAAATTAATTTCATTAAACTTTTGAAAAGCACTTCTGTACCTGATCAAAAACTTTACTCTTATAATTTGGTTATAAAGAAAGAAAATTAGTCTTCATAAGCAAGATTATACTGTTTAAAATACAAAGGGTCACTTTCTCAGTTATTTCCATGGTAAATGTTCAGATGAGCTCCACTCTTTGTTCTACCAGTTCAGAACCTTATAGCAGACTTGCCATGCTACCTCCAAAGAGTTAAATCCCCCACATTTCCTCCATATTCCAATTGTAAAAAGGAAGCTCCTCTCTGACTTCTTTTTCCCAAGAACTATTTTGTGGAACAAATTCCCACTTGGATGCTTCCCTGAATATTACAATCTTAAACTCTTCAACTATCAATTGCTGTCTCTCTTCTTTATCTTCATAATCTTCACTTCCTTTTATCTCCTCTTACATTCATATCACTCACCTCATTCAGTAACACTCTACCTTGGGTGGTTCTTGAGCCTTGTAAACTTCCCATCTGCCAAAGGTTAGAGAACCCATTAAGCAAAACATAACGCTTATAACAAAAACGATGAAAATATTAGTCCAAATAATTTCTAGAATCCCAGTAGTTTTTTCTTTCTCTCTCTTTCTCTTTCTACCCTTCTCTCTCAACTAATGAGAAGGCAACCCTCAAATAAAAAAAGTGAAAGAAAAAGAAAAACAACAGCTGAAAATGACAGAAGTTTGCTGGTCCAGGGTCGAGTTATTGTGACTAGAAATCTACCAAAATAAGAGAGGGTCCACACATAACTTCCACTATAAAAAAAAGGAAATAGAAAGAAAGGCCAGAAAATAAAATAATTTTAGTCGATCAAAAAAAAAAAAATAAACAAACTTTTGATATTAGCTGAAACCAAGCTTTGCACCAAGTAGCAATACTTAAGTGTATCTAAGGAGACAGCCAAGAGGTCAAGAGTTAGAGAAGGGACAGCTGGAGAAAACAGTCAAGTGTGTCATGTGAAACTAGTGGTCATTTGCTTAACAAATTTTTGCACCAATCTGAGGGCCGACAATAGACCACCAATTGATGCCACACATTTATCTAGTGTAACCATAATCTCAACAGCTACCAATAAAATGACAACTACTACCAAAGTCTATCAAAGACCCAGCTGAACAAACTTTCACCCACCCAAATACAAAGGACTAGCTTCAATCACAGTCAAATAAATAAACATATTATTTATACCTTTGATTCTGTTCACTTATTCCAAAGATTCTGAGAAATATTTTTAAGAGCATATGGTGCTTTTCCACAAATCTTTCAGTTGATAAATTTTTCTTTTTTTTATAAAACATTATTGCAGAAAAACAATTTCATAATCAAGGTCCACCCCAGAAGTTTTGAGAATTTCTAAGTAGAGACATTTATTTCTTTCATAACAATACAGAACTGTAATCTCCTTCATAGTAGGATCCTCCAATTTCAATGATATTGTTCTAACACTCCAGCTTCTTCTTGAAGGTTCCCTCATAGCCTTCTATAGTGAGGGTTACCCGAGTCTTTGTCACAGTTTCTTTCATCTTCTCCACGTCGTTAAAATGTTATGGTTTTATTTTGTGGGTTTTGGCAGCGTTTTTGGCAAGATTAGCAAAAAAAAGATTTTATTCAAAATGATGAAGATCATTTTTAGGATGTGAATGAGATAAAAGGAGCTGTGACAAGGATTCTGGACACTTCATTTCGGACAGCTATGAGAGGGGACCTTCAAGAAGTGGTTGAATTGCTACAAGAGCATTGAAGTTGAAAGATCCTATTTTCAAGGGGATTAGAATTTTGTATTGTTATGAAACAAATCTCTCCCAAGAAATTCTCAAAACACCTGGAGGGGATCTTCTATCTTAAAAGAGAAGATCCTTAAAGCTAAAATACTTATGGTCATTTTCTAAGTGTAGCTTAGATGTGGCACAAAGCCAAATGTATGGGGCACCCAGTGAGGATCGAACTCACTACTCAGTCGTAAATGATCTAGCAAGACAAGCTTGCTAACTATTACATCATGTTGAAGTGCTCAAAAGGATTTTCTATTCATAGCTTAGATGTGGCACAAGGCCAAATGTATGGGGCACCCAGTGAGGATCGAACTCACTACTCAGTCATAATTGATCTAGCAAGACAAGCTTGCTAACCATTACATCATGTTGAAGTGCTCAAAAGAATTTTCTATTCATGGCTTAGATGTGGCACAAGGCCAAATGTATGGGCCACCCAGTGAGGATCGAACCCACTATTCAGTCGTAAATGATCTAGCAAGACAAGCTTGCTAACCATTACATCATGTTGAAGTGCTCAAAAGGATTTTCTATTCATAGCTTAGATGTGGCACAAGGCCAAATGTATGGGACACCCAGTGAAGATCTAACTCATTACTTATTCATATTTGATATAGTAAGACAAGCTTGTTAGCTTTAAAACTTGTTATTGATAAATAGAATCAAATTTACTAATGCATCTCAGGGACAAAATAATATATTTGCTATATTAAAAATAAAAAGATTTTGAATTACCCACCAAACCCAGATTTTTACTAAAAAAAATAAAACAAAATAAAAAAAATTACAAAAACTTTGAAAAAAAAAAATTAAAAAAAACTTTTGAAAAAAAAATGTTTATAGAATCAAATTCTGATTAGTCTGTCATGTTCACTTTTGTACTAATGCCCCTGGGAAAGGCATGAATCCATCTCTCCTCCCCCAGCTATAGGTTAAATAGTAGGGTAGACAAGGCATTTTAGACTTGGGTGGCAACCGGCCTAGGAAAAGGACAACTCTGAATTCCGAACTGTAGGAAGGCAATGAGAAATCACTCCACTATCTTTCCTAGAAGGCATGGCAATTCACAGATAATAAAGAAAAGGAAGCTGTAGAGGGCCAAGATTACCTACGTCCTGATGGGATATGACATTAAAAGTCTATTTGACAGTAGGTTTCTTTTTATTAATACTAAAATAGAGACCTGCAAGTTTTGTATCTCAAGAAGAAAAAAATAATTTGCTTATGAAGACAATATTTTTTTTTCATATCATGTAAATTTTTATTTTTACTTTCATTTTTAATAAAAGTTTTGGCAACTTTTGGTATTCCTGCTAATTTCATTCCTTCTGCCTAAACTTGGTTCTTTTTGCCTTTTACAGTCTGAGCAATTCCAGGGTGACATTTTCCCAGCAACAGCAAGTTGTGTCCCATCTTTGTCTGCCAATGAATGGGTTAGTGGCCAAAACAGGGAACCAATTCTCATCTCATTGCAGGTCAGTGTTACTGTAAAAAAGGAATCAATCCAGAATTGCCTTTTCTTTTCTTTTTTTTAATCAAAGACATTTCCCTTCTGTTGGTTTTTACATCCTTTGCACTTCAATCCACATTTATTTTTGTTATTTTCAATTATTTTTCACTTTTTTTAACAAACAAAATACCCTCCATAGAGCAATGGCTTGCATGTTAATCTCAATGGCTATTATTAGTGATTTTGATTTTATTAAATGATTAGGTTTAGCTTTGTCAATTTCTAAAGGGTATTTGCGATCAATGGATAACAAGTTTTTCTAAGATTATCCCTATTAGAATCATTTCAATTCTGACTTGATCTTCCACTACTGAAGGGGTTTCCAACCATTTCATGCACCACAGGAAATGTCTATATTATATTTCAAGGACACATGGCACAGTGGATAAAGGCATTAGTTAGATCCTGTGACAGGACCCAAATAGTGATTTCAATACCGGTTAGGGCAGTGGACAACTTTCAGAGGGAAATTAACAGGAGATAACTGATAACTGACATCCATTAAACATGGCACGTGGAACTAGAACAGTCTACCCCAGTAAGCGAAATAAAGGGTTCAGTTCAACATTCCAACCACCTGAAGAAGGCTGGAGTGTACAACGGCCTAAACGTTGTAATAAATATGGCAACAAAGATGAGGACAATAGTCCAAATAATGCACCACAGGAAATGTTTGACCAATTTTGGCACCCTCTAAAAAAAGTTATATCACATTTGAAGAGAAAGAAAGAATTTAGATAAAAGAATTCATTGCTGGCACTTCTCCTAGTTAGACTAAAATTAGTGGCAACAATGTTTTGCACATGTAAATGACAGGTGTAAGGAAATGGAAGACAATTTCAACATGGCGATATTTTATATTTTTTGTTTTTATATAACACGGTAAAAAAAGAGAAAATAAAGGCATGCAAAAAAGGGAAGACATTACAAGATAGAAATTGTGTGTGTGTGTGAAAAAGTTTGGTTCAAAGTGAATGATATCACCCTGTTCTGGAACGTTCCAGTGGGTGTCATCACTACTGCATGCTGGGTGAAAAAGAGAAAGACAGGAAGTGTCCCATTTTTATAGCTGCTTGACAGCACCCTCTATTGACTTCTTGAGGATAACCCACAAATTTAAATAAAATAAAGCTATAGATTAATTAGTAAGATATATCACTAAATGCTTATTATCTCACAAAAAAATTCTTACAATCTAAAAATATTTTCTGGCTTTAAATAACCTGAAAAGGGTTGATAAGCCATAGAAAACAGGGATTAAATTCTTTGCTACAGAAAGCATTTCCTTTAGTCATCCAACACATAGACATGGTGGAATAATGGACAGTGGTTTGGATTAAGAGCTGAGTTCAAATTCTACTAGTGTTTGTTACATTCACTAATGTGGAAACCATTATCTTATGTCAAAGTGCCTAAACAAACACTTCCATATTCTATTCTTTTTCAAATTCCCTCATTGCAATGAAAATTTTTATTTTAGCTGTTGTCATAGCAGGATATGACAACACAACCACTGTTTGGTCATTCAAGTTGACTTTTTGTTCAGCTGTCACCTACTGGGCAGTAAAAGTCAAGTAAAACTCATTTATTTTATATCAGTTTTTCATTGCATAAAAAGTTTGTCTAAGCCTTTTTAGGTTTGTTTCATTTATTGCTATTTGTGCTTTGCTAAATCTTTCAAATTTCCTTTTAATTGATTTCTCTTGCTAGTTTTTACTTGGCTTGCCTTTTGCTTTTATAACGGCAAAGTTTAAGCTTCTTTCTTTGGCTTACCTAAACATAATAGAAATCTGCAGGTGCCACAATGATTATGAGCATGGAAGAGGGAGACAGTGAGCAGAATTTGAATTCCAGCTGAGGCTGTTGTTTTCACTATACACTAAAACTCTTGCTAAAAGCAGTAATTCATTTCATCTCTCCCTAACTATGGATTAAATAACCAAGCAGGCCTGATTCTCTAGCCTTGAGTGCTAGCCAGCCTAGGAGAAGAAAAACTCTGAAATCACAACAGTTGAGTGCATGTGTCATGAAGCATGAAAATTTAACTGTTCTCAAAACAAAAAAATCTGATGGACTACAGATACACATTATATATATATATATATATATAATGGGGGGGTGACAGTCACCTCTAAGTGTTGACTTCTATGTTCACTTTTATATATATATATATATATATATATATATATATATATATATATATATATATATAATATATATATATATTATATATATATACTAGCAGGAGCCCCGGCATTGCCCGGGATGTAACAATAAGAGATAGATCAAGTATCAACCATCATAAAGACTGAAAATAAAATTGACAAAGATTATTGTTTAAGGCTGACGGACACGCATGTCTTAATTAGTTTTTTTTTGTTTTTAGTTGTTGTTTTTTACGAATTGGTCAAACCCAAACTCAAACAAAAACATTGTTTTCAATCATTATGAGTCTACCGATTGAATAGAATTTTATTATAAACAATTGTCTTGTAAATGGAATTTTTAAAGCATTCTGAATGTAAAAATAAAGAAAAAAGTGTGCAAGACAATAAGAAACACTACCTGCCCAAAAAAAAGTGGTTTTGTTGAAATCGGTTGAAAAATGTAGGAAATCCGATCCCATATATAAACAAACACACACACACAAACAACCAACCTGGGTTTTATAATAAGTATAACTCAATATGAGTTGTCTCCCTTTCATTAATGCCTCTTAATCATGTTTTCAAATTGATTTCGTTCAAAAACAATTGTGTTTTTCCAATTTTGGGTGCTGTCAGAACCGCCGCAAGGTAATTTTACGTAGTCCTGTGAAGTTTTGTTGAAATCGGTTGAAAAATGTAGGAAATCCGATCCAATATATAAACGTACAGACACACACACACACACACACACAATCTGCATTTTATAATAAGTAGACACTCTACTTGGGATTGTATAGAATGGTTTAAAGCGTATGATAAAAATAACAAATGTTCTTTTCTAAAATATGATATAAAGGAATTTTATCGATCCATTATGGAGAAGACTGTTAACAAAGCTTTATTGTTAGCCAAGAACTACATATCAATATCTAATGATAAAATCAATCTCATTAAACATTGTCGTAAATCACTATTATGCCATAATAATGAATTATAGATTAAAAAAGGTGATAATAATTTTGACAACCCAATGGGGGGATATGACGGAGCAGAGGTATGTGAATTAGTTGGGTGCCTCCTACTAAATAATTTAAACAAGTATATCAAACTGAGTAACCATGGGCTGTACCGTGACAACGGGTTAATAACAATAATAGATAAATGTACCCCTAGAAAAAGTTACGTAATTAAATTACTCTGGCTATTCAAGAAATTTGTATTTAAATTGGACATACAATCCAATTTAAAAGTCACTCATTACTTAGATGTTACATTACACCTATGTAATGGTAGAGTTTCACCGTATAGAAAGATAACAAGCAACCACATTACATTGACATAGGTTCTAATCACTCTAAACATATTTAAAAACAAATACCCAAATGAATTAACCATAGATTGTCCACTAACCCTTCGGATAATAATATTTTTAATAAAAATAAACAAATTTATGAAAAAAGGCTCTTGTAGTAGTAGATATAGAAGTAAATTAATATACATCAATACAAATAATATAAATAATAATAATAATAAATAATAATAATAATAATATATAATAATAAATAATAATAAATAATAATAATAAATAATAATTATAATATATAATAATAATTATAATATATAATTATAATAAATAATAATATATATAATAATAATAATATATAATAATAATTATAATATATAATAATAATAATATATAATAATAATTATAATAATATATAATAATAATAATATATAATAAATAATAATAATAAATAATAATTATAATATATAATAATATATAATAATAATAATATATAATAATATATAATAATAAATAATAATTAAATATATAATAATTATAATATATAATAATAATATATAATAATAAATAATAATATATAATAATAAATAATAATGATAATATATAATAATAATATATAAATGAATATACATTAATATAAATAATTCCCCTGAAAGGCAAAGTAAACGTAAAAATAGAACCAGAAAAGTATTATTGTTTAATCCCCCTTATAATTTAGCAGTCAAGACAAAAATAGGTAAAATGTTTTTCGAATTACTTGAAAAAAACTTCCAACAAACAAATATACTAGATAAAATTTTTCAGTAAAAATTATGTTATGTTACAGTTGTATGCATAATATGACTAATCTAATAAGCAAGTATAATAGGAAAAGAAAAATCAAGGACAAACCACACACCAGCCCCACGAAGTGTAACTAGAAAAAAAGATGAATGCCCTCTTGAGGACAAGTGCCAATAGGAGTGCATGCTCTACCAGGTAAAGATATATAGAAATAAATTTAATAGTACTGATAAGAACCCTAAAGTTTATATAGGTTCTACCCTGAGTAGTTTTTAAAAAACATTATTATAACCACCTCAGTAGCATCAAACATGAAACTTATAAACATAGTACTACCCTGTCCACTTATATATGGAAGATTAAACAGGAAGACAATAATGATCCCATTTTAAAATAGGAAATATTAAAAAAAGTGTTATAAATACAAAGCAGGTGATAAATTTTGTTCACTATGCATCGAGGAAAAGATAGTTATCACTACACATAAAGAACCCAAAAATTTATTAAACCAAAAATCAGAAATTCTTAGTAGGTGCTGACATAAGAAAAGCTGGTTGTTAGAGTAACATGTAGGTTTTTTTTTGGGGGGGGGGTCACATGGTCATGGTTTTATTTGGTTTTATCAATAAATATTGTTTCATTATTTGCCTTTTTTAGACAGTTTTACCCTGAAGATCCGTGTTTAGGTGAAACCTATGTAGGTTTACCTGTCTCCTTAGGATTCTTTTAGTTATATATATATATATATATATATATTCTTCTAAAGAAGTAATATATATCTTGATTGAGATTACTTTATACAGACTTTTTTCTGGTTGCTTTCAGTCTTTTTAAAAGAATAATTAATCCAAATGAAAATTCTTAAACAGATATTCTTTGTCTTTAACAAAATTCTTGAAAATCCTCAAAAGAAATGATTTATGATATTAAATCTGGATAAATCGTAGCAGTTATCCCATGAAAGGCAAGTTACGTTTACCCTAGGATCTGCACCATTCCATCCACATCAGCATGTCTTTACATGTCCACTAAGGATCACAGATTTTCTTTCTACAATACAGCACAGTTTCAATGTCTTTCTTTTGATTTTCAATGCAGCCATTTTTTTATCCTTGCACCTGGCTGATCTTTTCTTGTTAACTGTTGGTCTTTTAATTTTATTGTCTTACCTTTTCTACAATCACATGCATTCTTGTGGCTTCTGCCAAGTGTCATGACCTCCAAAAAATAACAATGACTACACTGACAAATATGTACGATTTTACTTCATAACATTTTGAAAACTTATACTCTGCATAAAAATTCAGATATAAATAAAATATATTTTTAAAACAATATAAATAAAAGATGAAAGGAAAATATTTGTTAACAATGTTTCCTTATTTAACTGAATAAAATTCCTCAAGGCTTACAATCACATCACATTGAAACACTGATTCCCATACGAACATGGAAGTTAAGCAACATCGAGCCTGGTCAGTACCTAAATGGGTGACCACTTGTGAATACCAGGTGCTGTAAGCTTTTAAGTGCAGGTGGTGTAATGGGTAATGGCGTGTAATTCTTAATCAGAAAGTCGAGTTCTAATTCCTGTTGGGTTTGTTATATTCACTTACACACTGTTGTGTAGAAAACCTACCACCCCTCTTGAAGATGAACTTGTCTACAAACAAAGACGTTAAATAGTGGCATGTCAGGAGTCAGAGAAGTTCTTGGCTGAGCTAGTTTTAGACTACTCAGGCGATTTCTGTACCTACTTACCAACCTAATAAACCCCTTTTTATTGTTACGTGTTATTTGGCGTTTGTCTTTACTAACCCCAAATCAACATCATAACACGCACAAATACCCTTGGGAAAAGTATGAATCCACCTCTTCTCTCCCTAGCTATGGGTTAATTAGTAAGATTTATATCATTAAATCCTTATTATCTTAAAAAAAAATCTTACAATCTAAATTTTTTTTTTTTTTTTTTTTTTTTAAGCGTTTGACCCCAAGCAAGGCGAGAAGCCACTAGGATGCAAGGGGTTACAGAAAATTTGGAGCAAGGTCAGATAGGAGTGATAGAAGAAAGGATGAGGAGAAGGGTAGTGGATAGATCAAGGCAACTGGAAATGTTGATTGACATTACATTTGAATAGCTGGAGATTATAGCTCTCAGGGAAACTGGAATAGGGAAGGGAGTTCCACAGGCGAGAGGTGCGAGACATGAAGCTATTGGAGTAGAAGAGATGGCAACATTTAGGAGTTTATTCTCTAGCTTTAAATAACCTGCCAAGGGTTGATAAGCTCTATAAAACAAATCAATGAAATACTGATCAGCTGCTACAGGCATGTCATTTAGATTCATGTACATTCCCTGGAATATAAATATAAAGAAATTAGTGTGGTCACAAAGTGAGGGATCAGTTTATATATTGATTGTAATGTAGAATTGATCACCCACTTTATATCCGCTCATAATTTTTTGGGTGTTGATAAACAGTAGAAAACGAATGAATCAATCAATAAAATAATGATTAGCTACACAGGCATGTCTTTTAGATTTATTTACATTCTCTGGAATATAAATGTGTAGAAACTACAGTGGACACAAAGTGATGGATCAGTTTATATATTGATTGTAATGTAGAATTGTTCCCACACTTTATATCCACATAATTTCTTGCTTGGTTATCAAATTGATTGGGTATAAATCCATTCCATCTCCTTCCTGCCCCACCCCCGAGCTATGGGTTAATTAGTAAGACTTATATCCCTAAATCTTTATTATCTAAAAAAAAATTCTTACAATCTAAAATATTTTCTGGCTTTAAATAACCTGCAAAGGGTTGATAATCCATTGAAAACAGGGATCAAATTCTTTGCTACGGAAACATTTCCTTTTGTCATACAAAGTATATACATGGTGCCATAATGGATAGCAGTTTGGATTAAGAGCTAAATTCAAATTCCAGTAGAGCTTGTTAGATTCACTTACGTGGAAATACCCTTGTGAAAGGGTATTTCCTCATATTTCCCCCTGTCTATGGGTTGAATAGCAGGACAGACTGGATCCTATAGCCTTGGGTGTCAACCAGTCTAGAAGGACAACTCTGAATTCAGAGCCAGAGGAGGGCCATTGTACTCTCTATAGCCTTCTTCAGGGAATTTCAAATCAAACACTTTATTCAATCTTCTGGGATAGATTATTCTCATTTTGCTCTTCATGTCTAGGGATATCTCATCTTGGTTATATCACATTGAAACACCACTTCTTGTACAATCACCAAAATTCAAGCTACACTGAGCCTGATCAGTACCGAGAGAGGTGACAGCTTTGGAATAACAGGCTCTGTAAACATGAATGTGCAGGTGGCGTAATAGATAACAGCTTCGAATTGACATCAGAGAACGAAATTTCAATTCCATTCAGATTCATTATATTCATTTATGCACAAATACCCTTGGGAAAAGTATGAATTCACCTTTTATTCCCCCAGCTATGGGTTAATTAGTAAGACTTGTATCGCTAAATCATTATTATCTCAAAAAAAACATACAATCTAAAAATATTTTCTGGTTTTAAATAACTGGATTTTTTATATTCATTCACATGCAAATACCCTTGAGAAAGGTATAAATCCACCTCTTCTCCAGCCACAGTTAATTAGAACTTGTATCAGTAAAAATCATTATTATCTTTTACAAAAATTCTTACAATCTAAAATATCTTCTGGCTTTAAATAACTTGCAAGTGGTTCATAAGACATTAAAAACAAATCAATCATTTCAGACTCATCTTTGTTTAGTTATTAGTTTACCACTAGTCCTGTTTTCACTTTGTCTATCTATACTAACTGGCACAGGGATTGAACACATAATTACTATGCCACCAAATTCAGTAACTAATCATTTAATCATCTGGGTCCTTGTTTCACTGGGACAATCCTGAAGTTTAGAACTTTGAGTTTTAAACCTGAAGTTCTACTTAGATAATGTAAATAATGATAATTCCTCATCCCAGAAAGCTGAAACATTGTGATAATAACAACGATGATGAGGATATTAGTCTGAGTGTAAATAATGGAAATAATGATAATTGCTCATCCCAGAAAGCCAAAACATTGTGATAATAACAACAAAGATGAGGATATTAGTCTGACTGTAAATAATGGAAATAATTATAATTCCTCATCCCAGAAAGCCAAAACATTATGATAATAACAATCAAGATGAGGATATTAGTCTGACTGTAAACAATGGAAATAATGATAATTCCTCATCCCAGAAAGCCAAAACATTGTGATAATAACAACAAAGATGAGGATATTAGTCTGACTGTAAATAATATAAATTCCCCATTCCAGAAATCCAAAATGTTGAGATAATAACAACAAAGATGAGGATATTTGTCTGACTGTAAATAATGGAAATAATGATAATTCCTCATCCCAGAAAGCCAAAACATTGTGATAATAACAATCAAGATGAGGATATTAGTCTGACTGTAAACAATGGAAATAATGATAATTCCTTATCCCAGAAAGCCAAAATATTGTGATAATAACAACAAAGATGAGGATATGAGTCTGACTGTAAATAATGAAAATAAGGATAATTTCTCATCCCAGAAATTCAGACAAAAATATAAAGAGTCTTGAATTTATAATGAAGATGCATAATTTTAGAAATTCAGATTAAATTCGATGAGACTTAAGATATAACATTGTTAATATTCTAGGCCTCAGTTTTATTTACTTGCTATTTTCCTGACTGGTCAGGAATTTAATTACAGTGCGGTGACCCCTGTGAATGTCTGCATGCATTTGTTCGTCTTGAGATTTGTGCTCTCATTTAAATGTCTTTTTGTTTTTCCCTTACAAAGGATGGTCAGCTGACCAACTGCCCTCCAATTACCTCTGCCAAAGCTGTTCAGAAACAGGTAAATAGTTCCTTCTCACCATCCACCTTATCACTCCTTGTTTGTCTCACTGTCTTTGAATGCCTACGCCACTGCATCTAGTTCCTTCTTTTTAACCTTTTTCTTACTTTGCTTTTTATGCTTTTCGTTTTAATATTTAAATATTGTCTATTAAATTTATTTTCATTTTTCATATTTTAATATTCTTTTTACAGATTCTAATAAAAAAAAATTCTTAGGAGGAGAGGAGACGGGTTCCTAGGGAGGTTAACTAACGAGAAGGGCGCCTGACAGAGAGAGGCCGGTTTTGAGTTTTTCCTTCTCCTAGACTGGTTGCCATCCAAGGCTATAGAACCCAGTCTGTCCTGCTATTTACCCATATCTGAGGGAAGAAGAAGAGGATTCATACTTTTCCCAAGGATATTAGCACATAAGTGAATGTAATGGATCTGACTGAAGTTCGAACTTGGTCCTCCAATTCCTCAGTCCAAGCCGCTATCCATTACTCCACCGTACCTTCTCCTCTCCTCCTAAAAATTCTTAAGACTTCTAAAGTCTTTTTTTATCTTGTTTTTTTTTTTACCACTCAAGCAGCACTGTGGAACTGACTCCCAAGAGGATGTTTTCCCGATCACTACAATCTTAACCTGTTCAATGCTAGGATTAACCATTATCTTCTCCACATATTTGCATAAAGTGTCTCCCACTCTCTAACCATCTACTTTGAGTGGCTCCCTGGCCTTGTACAAGGTGAAGATCACTGTAAAGAGAAAAATGTTCTTTGTGTGGCAGCCAGTCTAGGAAGTCATCTTTGAATTTAAAACTGTGGAGAAGGCAACAGGAAACCACTTCTTTTTTATTTTTCACAAGAATCCTCATGATAATTCACAAATAATAAAGAAAAGAAACCCTTGAAGAGCCATGATCTGAAAGGATATACTAATAAAAAAAAGATTTAATACGCAATATAAAACTGGTTTTGAAATAAATAAAAAAAACAAAAAAAAAAGATAGCTGTAAATTTTTGTAGACACTGAATACATCAATCTTTAAGTCTATTTTTTTTTTTTTGCTTTCAAGTAAAGTAATTTATTTTATAATTAAATTTCTTAAAATAGCATCTTGAAAAGGAAAGGTTGGTTATAATATTAAATTTTTCTTCTAAATGCCATATTCTTTCAAGAAATAGATGATCTTGGTTCTCCACTGATTCCTTTTCTTCATTGTCTGTGAATTGTTATGAATTCTTGAAGGATAGTGGAGTGGTTTCCTGTTACCTTCAATATGGTTTTGAATTCAGATTTGATTAACTATTCTAATTAAATTATTCTTCAGTTCAGTAAAGAATTGAATTTCTGTTTGAAATTGTGATCCTTATTTATATTACAATTATTTGTAAATAAATAAAGGGAGACTATTAATAAGGGGAGACTACTAAATAAGGGGAGACTACTCTATAATTAACAAAACTACAACTGCATTTTAAATGTTAGTTTTATTTGTACTTCTACTAATCATTAAACGACTGAAATTTTGTATTTAATGAGATTTGAAACTATATGTTTACAATTTATAGAAATTGCTGTTGAAGTGTGCAAATTTTTTTGATGGAAAAAACCCAAAGAAATGAAAAGATTAAAAGTTTTGTATAAATTACCAACACCCATGGAATCATATAATGTTCATTTACAATATACATCATTTACATTGTTCAGACTGTTGTACTTACCTTAGTTGTCATATTCACAACGTTTCGGCCATTGTACACTCTGGCTTTCTTCAGGTGATTGAAATTTCAAGCCAAACCACCAAGGTAAATTGTTCTAGTTCTACGTGACATGCCTCTTCCAGATATCTCAGTTTTGCTTTCAGTTATTTCCCTTTAGTAAATCAATTCTCTAAGTTTTTGTTCACCTCTGCTGTGGCCAAGTACTGAACTCACTACTGCTTGGGTCAAGTTACTGGATTACTTCGAATCACCTGAAGAAGGCCAGTGCGTACATGTCCGAAACATGAATATGGAAATAAAGATGAGGACAGCAGTCCAAACAATGTAAATACTGTAAATAGTTACAATACCTCATCTCAGAAATATAGACAGATATTTATTTATGCATTAAAAATATGTTTTTTATAAAATAAAAATCTCATAGGTTTGATGGGAATCAAAAAATCCAAAATTTGTTAATATATTTGTTTCTTTTCCTTCTCCAGCATTGATATAATTTTCCTTTTCAGCTTTTGTAACAAATAGAAATACTGTATATACTTGAGTATAGTATGAATTTTTACAATCAGATAGGGGTTGCATTATAAACAGGTATTTTTTTTTTTTTTTTTGAAGCAGTTAAAAATCATGCATTTTCAGTAACCAGTAGCACTATACACAGGTAAATGGATTAAAATTCAAGCAGGAAATTCAGATGTCACACTATAGATGAAGTTGGTCTATACACAAGTATATACATTATACAAAAATCAGATCATGGTAACTGGTTTGAGTGTGAATCCAGACACCACATTATTAATTTGCAAATTGAACTGGAAATTGTTTTGTTCTTCAGGTTTTAGCCAATACTGTTAAATTGCGCTAAGATGTGCTGTTTTTATGTTATTGCTACAAATATGCCAACAAACAGGAATTGGGTTATTATAATAGGTTTAAGCCTAAAGAAAAACCAAGGATAGTGGCCTTTCTATCAACTCTAGACATAGTGGTCTTTATGACAATTCCAGGCATAGTAGCCTTTCCTCCAATCCCAGGGGGTGTAGTGACCATTCTACTAATCCCAGATATAGTGGTCATTCTGTAGTTCCAGGCATGGTAGCCTTTCTGCTGATACCAGACATAATGTCCTTTCCGCTAATCACAGATATAATGGCCTTTCTGCCAACTCTACACATGGTGGCTTTTCTGTGGGCCCCAAACTGGCTTTTCCGTCAACCCCAGGTATAAATGTCTTTCCACCAACCCCGGACATAATGGTCTTTCTGCTGACCCCAGGTATAATGCCCTCTCCACCAACCCCAGGTATAATGCCCTCTCCACCAACCCCAGGTATAATGCCCTCTCCACCAACCCCAGGTATAATGCCCTCTCCACCAACCCCAGGCATAATGGTCTTTCCACTTACCCTAGGCATAATGGCTTTTCTGCCAACCCCAGGCATAATGGCATTTCCACCGACCCCAGGAACAATGGCCTTTGTTGAAGATTCACAGATGCAAAAATTTAATGAACATTAATTTTAATGACATTTATTTTTTAATGATTATGAAATGTGAATGAAGAACATTAACTATGAAGTTAATATAATTTGTTGAATATATGAAACTACAAACAAATTATAAGTGTGAATAAAATGTTTTTATTAAAATCTGTTTAGATCGAAAGCATGTTGATTTTTCAAAGCTGATGCAACACAAATTTTTTCCCCATTTCATTCCCATGCCAGTCTCAGTTTATCAAATCTCTTTAATGTTAATTTCCACCTTTGGGATTTTTTGATAATACTATATATGCTAATTCATTTAGTTTTCATGTTTTTTGTTGAGGTCCTTTGTCAATTCTAATCTCTTCATTTCAGACTCAAAAAGTCAAATCTTTCCGCTGAAGGTCTTCAGCTTTCATCTTGAATGTTGTTCAATATGTTGCATGACCACCTTCAATACAAAGTTTATTAGGACCAATCAAAATTCCTATTTAATAGCAATTCTTAAATATCTGCTAAAATATTCAATGCTGTTAGGTATTCATTTCTCTTTAAAAGCATTTTGCTTCAACCTGTTTTTCTGTATCTCTGTTTTGTATTGATGTTATTGAATGAATTGTTGTCTAAAATTCTCAGATTAAATATTTTGAACAATTATCCTTATCTTTGTTGTTTCATTCACTATGCTTTAATTGATGCAATCTCTGGCTTTTCAAGTGTTGTTTGAAGTTCTCAAATGTAGTATTGTCATCATTAAGACTAGTATCCTTATCTTTGTTGTTTCAATCACCACACTTCAACTGATGCAGTTTTCAGCTTTCTTAGTGTTGTTTGGCATTCTCAGATGTAGTATTGCCAACATTAAAAACTAATATCCTTATATTTGTTGTTTTGATCAATGTTTTAGATGTTGTGTTCTCCAGCCTTCTTAAGGTGAATGTCACAGATGTTAATATTCAAGCTTTGAAAAGAATCTAAGAATTTGTTTTAAAAATACATTTGTATCTCTAATCCAACACCCTGTGGGCTGATAACCCACATGCCTGGCATATCTGCATCTAGAGGTCCATAATTTGATTTCAAATCATAGTTTAAATGATAATTTAGCATTTTATAAACACCCATTGTACCAAAATGTTGTAACCTCGGGATGGTTACTGAATAGAAGAATCAAATGAAGGTTGGTAATGGATGATAATACTTAGGGCATGAACAACACATATAAGATTCACCTGTGGTGCATAGAAGAAGTGGTCAACTGCTAGAAGTGAGTCAGGTGAATTTCATAATGAATCTCCAACTGAAGACCACAGACCAACACATACAGTATTTACTATTGTATTTATGTGAATGGAGATATACCCATTATCGTCCATAGGTATGCTACAACACAAATATATAAAAACTTAATAGCAATTTGGAATTAAATTGAAGAATACTGACTTCGATAACTTTCAATGTTTGTCTTTGCACAAAGTTTGGTATGAATTTTTTTTTTTTTTTCTGAATCGTAAAAATTATCCTTTAATACAACTGTCAGGGAATAATACACGATTCTCAATTATGCTCCATCTAGAGAAGCATCAGGAGTTCCAAACTAATAAAAAATGAGTTGTATAGGAAAAAAGAAGCTCTCTTTTTAGTTTGAATTTAACAAGGATAAAATGTTATATATTTGGAATAGCAAAAATGTTTGTGCATACAAAAAGTGAATAATGTTCATAGGAAAACTTTGTAAGACAAGTCAAAAAATGATTGCATATGAGGCAATTTTATTTGAAGAAAGAGTCTGTATATGTGTTCTTTGTTCTGTTACAATAAGTGTACATACATTGATGTGACTTAAGGGAAAGAAATGAACAAGCAAATGAAAATATATACTCAGTTGTGTGTGTGTTAGAAGTTCCTGAGTGGCGCCTTGAAGACTGTTGTGTTGCTGACTGTCTAACATGAAATGGACAACTTCTAGGGCTCCTTCTACCTAGGGTTAAGAATTCTCCCCTTTAACCCCCCCGGCCAAGAGGCTCTGCGCAGCTATGAATGTGAATTTTATTTTATTTGAAAGGAATTATTTTATTGGGTTATAGATTTCATGTGGTATGCTTTCAACTACATCAGCACTAGAATAACTATTTGAATACATTTTTGTGGTGGGCTAAAGTTTAAAGATAAATGTGCATAAGTTTCACTTCACCCATACTTAAAGTTCCCACACAACCAATTAAAAATCAGAAGTAAGCAGTTTTTACTTTTAGTAAATCATATCATCATATAAATGAAAATAAAAATATATCAGCCTATTTTTTGTACTATCAGAAAAAAATCTATAAATCATAAAATTTTATTTTGAAAGTCTATGATGAAAATAATTGACTTAACTTTGACCTTTAATTTCGTAAAGGATAGAAAGTAAAACAATAAAAATTAATTTCTTTGAGCCAGAAATTTTAAACATTTCGAGGATCACTTTAACAGCATGGCACTGGCCAAGAACTGCTGTAATGTCTGACTACAGTTTGAATTCACTAATATGGCACCCTGGGGTCCAGCAACTCTCTCTTGTTCAGGCATATATTGAATCTGCTACTAGGGGTCCTTGATTTGGTTTCAAACCATGGCTTGAATAATAATTTAATAGTTTATAAATACACATTGTACCAAATTCCTAAAAGCCTAACATTGGTTTCACACCAAGGCATAGAGGCCTTTCTAGTGACCATACCGAATGCAATAACTTATCTTTGCATAAAATTAGTTCCGATTAAATTAATTTTTTTATATATCTAAAAATTATTTTTAATACAACTACTTAAAATATACAAAAAAAACATAAATAATTTTTCTTTATCGCAATATAAATTTTATTAAAAATATAGTGTTTTATTTTATTAAGTGTTCTCCTTGAATGGTCATTTTCTACTTTCTGCTATTTTTATGTGCAGGTCAGCAATGGCTAAGTTCCAAAATGACCAGATTAAAGACATTCAAGTTTAAACAACCAATATTTATCAATTCCCAAACAAAGTAAATGATTATAGCCTCAAGTATAAATGACCAATATTTACCTATTCTCTGATCAAATAAATTGCATTGTAGATGGTTGACATATTTTGATTAATTTATTACTTACCATTTTATTGATATCATCCCATACAAGGCAGTAAAGCCACTAAGACACAAGGGGTTACTGGGTATGGAAGAATTAGGAAGAGAAACATTAATAATGAGCGGGAAGAGGAAAGAGTAATCAGGAGGACAGTAGATAGCGATTGACATTACATTTAAATATTTGAAGATTAAAGTTGGCTGGAAAGCATGGAGCTGGAAGGGAGTTCCACAAGCAAGGCAGTAAAGCCACTAAGACACAAGGGGTTACTGGGTGTGGAAGAATTAGGAACAGGAACATTAATAATGAGTGGGAAGAGGAAAGAGTAATCAGGAAGACAGTAGATAGTGATTGACATTGCATTTAAATATTTGAAGATTAAAGTTGGCTGTAAAGCATGGAGCTGGAAAGGAGTTCCACAAGTGAGTAATGTGAGAAAAGAAACTGTTAGCATAGAACTTATGGTTACATCTAATTAGCTCAACTGTAAATTGATGAGATCTCAATACCAGTTTAGTACTGCGCTCAAATTCAAAAAGTCTAGGTACCATAGGAAAAAGCTCATCTGAACAATTACCATGAAAGTATTTATAGAAAAGGCACAGAGAGGAATCCTTACAGTGGTGGCAAAGTGACTGATGCAGAGCTGCCAGATCAGGACCAATAATATTGCTGATTTTTCTTTGGATCTTATCAAGGAGCCCAAGGTAAATAGCAGGGGCATCAGACCATATGTGGCAGCAATATTCTAAGCATGGACGAATGGTAGACTTATAGATATTTAAGATAAATTCTGGAGGGAAAAATTGTCTTGCATGACACAGTGAACGAACTTTCTTAGCAGTTGAGAGATGTCCAGAAAATAAGCATTTTTTTTGTAGTGATTTTCTAAGTGTGGCTTAGATGTGGCACAAGGCCGAAAGTATGGGTCACCCAGTGAGGATCAATCTCCCTACTCAGTCGTAATTGATCTAGCAAGACAAGCTTTCTAACAATTATACCACAGAGAGGTGCCCTTTATCAAAGTTTATAATTAGTTACTCATCCTTATCTGTTTACTTAAATTTTCATGTTTGACAGAGATTTTTTATGAAAAAAATATTTATTTTCAGATTTATTTCTTTATAAATTGATAAATGATAAACATTGCATTGTATTGGTCCTCATTTTTAAGGCTTGCATTTTATAATCTTGTAAATATAAAATTATTCTTGTAAATAAACAATCTAATTAATAATGCTTAATATTCTTGCTATAAATTCTCAAAGAACAAAAAAAATATGTAAATTTACTTTCATATGTTTGGGTTTTATTAAAATTCTAGTTATCACTTTTTAAAGCAACAAACATTGTCAAGAGAGTTTTAAAAAATGGTGTCATTGAGAAAGAAATATCCTTTTGACACACTGAAATATTTTTATATATGCTGCTTCTGTTAATTTTCTTACCTTCCATTGATGAAATCAGAAGTCCAAACAACTTTTGAAATAAATGCTGTAGAGATCTGAGGAAAGCCTAATAACAAACAATCAGGACAAAGTGATCAAAGAATGAATGTGTGATGTGTCAGGAATAATACAAGATGTTTTATAAGCAATTAATAAGCATGTGTGTTTATTCAATGACGTATCTTATCGATTGTATGAAAGAGGATATATACTGAATGTTGTCTGAGTTTTTTTTTCAATTTCTCTTTCTCTCTAGGATGGCACACTGAACCAGGCACCCACTATCACAACCTTCAAAGCGGTCAGCCGCCCACCATTGGCCAGAGCCTGTACCCTGCCAACTGCTCAAGTTACCCCAAGTGTCAATACAGAGATCATCAACAAGGAACCAGCTTCACTCAAAAATATCAAACGTCTCAGTTCAAACGATGAATTTGTTACCTTATCCAGGTAAAAGAATTCCTGAAATTGGTTTACGTTTTTATTATCATTATTATGTTGTATCTAATGAATTGATTTCTACCAAGGAAATTTTTAATAAGAAAATGCAAGCAGCTTTTCAACAAAATAGACAAATATTTATATATAAAATAAGTTGAAAAAAGACTAGTAAAAAAAATTAATGATTGACAAAAGAAATACTAGAAAAAATAAGATGGCTTCAAAGAAATTCAGACAACTTAAGACTATTACTAGTGAAAATAAGATGAAAAGAAATATCAGAATAATTGCCATGGCTTCATCTAAGAAATTCAGACAACTTAAGACTATTACTACTTGGTGGAAAAGCAAGAAAATAAGATGAAAGAAATACTAGTGAAAAATGAATAATAATTGCCAAGGCTTCATCTAAGAAATTCAGACAACTTAAGACTATTACTACTTGGTGGAAAAAGAGAAATAAGATGAAAAATATAAAAAATGAATAATAATTGCCGAAAAGAAATTCAAACAACAAGACTATTACTAGTGGAAAATGAATAATAATTGTCAAAAAAAATGAATAAAGATTATCTAAGAAATTCAGACAACTATTACTACTTGGTGGAAAAGCAAGAGAAATAAGATGAAAGAAATACTAATCAAAAATGAATAATAATTGCCATGGCTTCATCTAAAGAAATTCAGACAACTCTAAGACTATTACTACTTGGTGGAAAAGCAAGAGAAATAAGATGAAAAAATACTAATCAAAATGAATAATAATTGACAAGGCTTCATCTAAGAAATTTCAACAACTTAAGACTATTACTTGGAAAAGCAAAAAGAGATTGAAAGAAATACTAGTCAAAATGAATAAATTGCCAAGGCTTCATCTAAAATTCAAACAACTTAAGACTATTACTACTTGGTGGAAAAGCAAGAGAAATAAGATGAAAGAAATACTAATCAAAAATGATCTAAAAAATTGACAACTTCAGACTATTACTACTTGGTGGAAAAGCAAGAAAATAAGATGAAAAAAATTTAGTCAAAAAATGAATAAAGATTGACAAGGCTTCATAAGAAATTCAAACAACTTAAGACTAATACTTGGTGGAAAAGCAAGAGAAATAAGATGAAAGAAATTAATCAAAAATGAATAATAATTGACAAGGCTACTAAGAAATTCAGATAACAAAAGACTATTACTACTTGATGGAAAAGAAGAGAAATAAGATGAAAGAAATACTAGTCAAAATGAATAAAGATTGACAAGGCTTCATCTAAGAAATTCAAACAACTTAAGACTATTACTACTTAGTGGAAAAGCAAGAGAAATAAGATGAAAGAAATACTAATCAAAAATGAATAATAATTGACAAGGCTTCTACTAAGAATGCTGAAAAGCAAGTATTGAAAATAAGCAAGAAAATACAGGGCAACAAGTTTCTTGATATTCTATAATTAAAAAGCAATTGCAAGATTATTTCAATATTGTCACTATTTTTACAGCATGTTTAAATTAGCTAATAATAATGATTGTGTTCCAAAAAGACTTGATTGCATGGTACTTCTTTATTTCAGTGATCCAATGAATAATATGTGTAACCCAGATCCATCAACAGAAGGCGATGTCTTCACAACCAATGAATCTATTAGCAAACCTACAGAGAAGACTATACGAAAACCTTGGACCACTTCAACACACTCTACCACTTCTGATGAGAGTCCTTCAAATGGACATCTCTCTTCAACTCCTGTTGATGTAAGTATTAAAAAAGATTTAATTTCTGATTTTTTTTTCTTATTCTCTATTTTTTAAATTTTTTTAACCCATTGCATCTGAGATGTGCTTTAAGGTGCTGATCTCTCAGATTGCTGCTTTTGTGTTTGCCAGGTGTTGTCAACTCAGCTTATTCTACTTTTATTTACTACAATGGCATCTTTTAATTTATTTCAAAGAACTTTGAACAGGCTATCTCTCATTGTTTCTTGTTAAGCTTTTTGCTTAGGTGTAAGGCTTATATTTATTTCTAATTTTGTTTCTTTTTCGTTTTTATTTTCAGTTTTTCTTTTTCTTTTTAATTCTTTTCTTGTATAATTATTTTAAAAAATTATCTTGATTTTGGCACTCATTTCTTCAAATTTTTTTGTTTTCTCTTTGCTTAAATTTTGTTTTTTAAATTCTGAGAGGTTGTTTTTCTTTTATTTGATCTGGGTTTCCATTTTTCATGTAGCCCAAAATACAAACCCACCCACCCAGTCATTTTGTGCATCTGCATTTATGTTTCTCACCTGTAATGAGCCAAGATAGTATTTCACCACATTTTCCATTCTTTATCATCTGTCCTACTGAAGACCACTGTCAGTTGTAATTAGAGATAGAGTTATCAGAAATATTTGTTAGTATGCATGCCACTTGTTCATCAAACTAGTCCCAGTCAACCAATTTGTTTTCCCTCTTAGAAATTCACACAACTTAAGACTATTACTAATTGGTGGAAAAGCAAGAGAAATAAAATGAAAGAAATACTAGTCAAAAATGAATAATAATTGCCAAGGCTTCATCTAAGAAATTCAGTCTCATCTAGTTATGAACTCATCCACAGTAGAAAATTGAACTCACTATACAAGTATTATTCTGGAGTTGCTGCCCATTGCTCTATCACAGACACCCTTGTTAATTATCTTTATAGATATCAGTATGCCAAAAAATATCTTTCACTTATTATTTTTAATTTCACCATGTTCCTGCTCTTGTTAACCCAGATATTCTTTCTGACTTTAAATTTTCAATTTCATCTTTCTAAGCCATGTTCTTCTGACACATTCCTATTATTTTGACTTCATTCCATAGAAGTTTGCCACCTCTACCTCTACATATGATCAGCTATACCTGATTTTATCACTCTTCATGTCCCACTTAGGCATGTTTTGATTGTAGTTTTGAAAAAAGTTATATTTCAGTGCAATTTTCTTTGTCCATGTTTTTCATTATACTTATCCTCTCAAAACTTTCTTTGGGTGTCTGTTGTCATTTTGAATGTTGTTCTGAGGGGTCATGCACTGTCCTTCCAATACATATGACTCTCTTCAGTATATGTCTATATTTCTGAGATGAGGTATTATGTACTCTATTTACATTATTCAGACTACTGTCCTCATCTTTGTTGCCATATTTATTACAACGTTTTGGCCGTTGTATGCTCCGGCTTTCTTCAGATGGTTGGAATGTCAAACTGAACCCTTTATTTCGCTTGCTGGGGTAGACTGTTCTAGTTCCACGTGCCATGTCTAATGGATGCGAGTTATTAGTTATCTCCTGTTAATTCCCTACTCCATGGCATGTGGAACTAGAACAGTCTATCCCATGTATATGTATATTTAGGCAGCATATCTTCATTCAAACATGTTTCCTTGAATAACATAGACATGTTTTGTCTATTTATTTTTATACTGATCCTTTCCAGTTGTCTAATCAGTTTCTTGATGTTAAAATGAAATTCATCAAGGAAAGGTGCTGTAGTTTTTGTTAACCCAAGTACTTTCGATCTTTTCAAATTCTAAAGGCTCTCTATATCAAAATCAACCAACCAACACTCAATGAAATTCATTACAAATATAGCAACAACATTTTAAAGTGCATATAACATTTAATGCCATTTTACATTTCTACCAATTTCTGGTCAGCTCTCTTATAGTGAAACGCTTGTTTTGTAAAAAAAACATTCCATAAGTACAACCGATAAACTTTAAATTTTTAAATAATTACAGAGCACATTGACATGTGTTTTTAAAAATCCCCATGACAACAGAATGCAGATTTTATCACAGTTACAATAAATTTATCTTCGTAATTTAGTCCTGAAGACGATCTTGGAAAAGATCAAAAGTAGTTGGGTAAACAAAAACTATGGAACCTTCCTTGATAAATTTAATTTTAGCATGAAGAAACTGATTAGACAACTAGAAAGGATCAGTTGTAGTGGCTGGGGAAGCATTCTTTCAAGAGTCTTCTCCACAAAGTAAAAATTTGGGGGAAGAAGCTTCTTCCTTACCAATGGAATACAAAGGCAATGAAGATGATCCAACCCTGTGTATGTAGCATGGCAGATCTGAACTGGTGGAACTAAGGGATGTAGTTCATCTAAGCCATGAAAATAGAGTAGCAAGCAGTTAGGAATATTTCAGCTGTAGGAAAGGAGTTGCAAGATGGAAAATTCATCACCCACAAGGCCATGTAAATGCTTTTGAACTCTGTCAATGATGGAAAGTCAGGACTAGGCAGCTGCAAAAGAAATAAATAAAAAAATTTATTAAACCACTAAGATACTGATACATATGCACAATTTTATAGAGAAATTCTTTAAGTTTATTAAAGCAATATAAACACCAGTTAGAGGATCCCATGAACTGAATATGTGAGCAATGACAACATTTGAGGAAAAATGGAAACAAAAAGAAGACTTATACTTAACATCAGGAAGAGAAATTTGAAATTTTTAGAGCACATGATAAGGAAAGAGGGCTTGGAAAATTTGATACACACAGGACAGATTGAAAGCAAGAGGGACAGAGGAAAACAATGTATAATATACTTAGTGAGCTTGAGTAAATGAACAACAGAACAAGGTTTAAGAGAAATAAGAGAAAGACAAAGATTATTAAGAGCTATGATGAACAGGAAATTGTGGAGAGCCATGACCGCCTATGTCCTGAAGGAACATGGAACGTAAAAAAGAGGATTCGGCAAACAGTGAAGCAAGATGTCTACAGATATTGTTGTGAAGAATTTTTGTATGATTAAATTTTTAAAAAAATTTTTACTGTTCTGCAATGGCATTTCAGAAACAAATTTCAGCAAATCATTGCCAACTTCACAAACCATCTTTATGTAATGAGTTGGTCGGTCAACTTGACACCCCCAAAGTACTGCACTTAAATTCATAGAGTCTAGGTACCATTGAGTTAATTAGAACAATTACCATAAAAATATTTACAGAAAAGGCATAGAGAAGCTATGTTACAGTGGTGGTTAAGTGAATGAAGGCAAGATGCCAGGTGAAGACCAATAACATTGCAAATTCTTCTTTGTGTTTTATCAAGAATCTCTAAATACATAGCAGAAGCACCAGAACAGATGAGGCAGTAATATTCAATGCATGGACGAATGGCAGATTTATCAATTTGTAAGACAGATTCTGTCAAGAAAAAATGTCTAGCATGACACAGTGAATCAACATGTGAAACAATGTATTGTTTTGCATTAATAAACTTTTAAATTTATTGCTTTTGTAATTTCTCTGCACATATTTGGCTGGTTGGTGATTACAAAAGTTTCCCTATGGATTACAATTTAAAAATTTGTTGTTTTTTAAATTCCTCCGGTTTTATTTTTACAAAGCAACTAGTCTTGCTTTTCTATACACTTGCATAACTTCATGGAATATTGTACAAGGTGCAATGGATAAATTTTCCTCTAAATTACACAAAAATGAAAATAACACTGACATCTCATTTTAACAGATATATTTACAAAAATTACACAAAAATATCTTGAAATACTAAAGAGTAAATTTATTCAATAAAATTGCGATTGACTTCAACCATGGTCTCCAGACAACTTTGGAATCTCCTGCACCCCTTCTGGACAATCTGCTAGATGAGTGCTACCATAATCCTTGCCTTCAGGTCATCTTTGATATTACAAGGAGTTGGTCTCTCACTCAACTGCACCCTACACATAATAATCAAGGGCAGAGTTAGATGGCCAGATCTAACGTGTGATGTGGTCACAGAAATTGTCTGACAGCCATGACTGGATTCTCCTGCTTCTGTGTCTTGTTGCAGTGTCCTGTTGCTAGACATAGGGTCATCCAGCAGCCATCCTCTTGACTCAGGGCAGCACTAATTCCTCAAGTCAACTGATGTAGGCCTCCATGTTGAGTCTGAAGCCCTCACCAACAAATCTGGGAATTCTTACCTTCGTAATCACCATTAGACTCATCCAACTCTTTCCAAATCCTCTGCACTCTCCTCAGATTGACACCCAAACACTCTGAAATGTTTGTATTGGAGCTTCCAGTGTGAATGCCAAACAGTAGAGCATACCATTTCCAAATTTCTGGCAGAGTGAATTGCATCATGGTGCTCTTTTTCTCATAGATGGTGCCCAACTGACTCTACTATATTGTGCAGTTGACAAAATCAAAAACAAACAATGCGCATACACAAAATTAAAAATATAAAACGATGGCAATTTATTTGTTGTACTCTGTATATGCAGTTCTTAGTCATGTTTTTTCTAGTAGACATTGCACTTGGATGGGCAATCTGCAGAGTATTCAACCAATTTGCAATACAAAGTAAATATTCCTTGGATGTTTTCTGCTATGTCTCTTATGTATGGGAGAGTTGTTGTAATCATTTTTTGTTATTTATTGGTTGTTGCTAGTATTGTGTTTGTAGGGTAATTTTTTTTCTTAGCATCGCTTGTTCTGATCATTTCTGGTTGGTAGATGTCTGGGTCACCACATATGACATTTTTCTTGCTGTTATAAGCAGTAGATGATCCCTAACTCTGTCGAGATTAAATTAAATATTTTTCATAAGTATTAGTGGTAAGTATTAGTACTGAAGAGCTAGTGTCGGGATTTCTTTTTTCACTTTCTAATCGCTTTAGACTCAGTTAGATTTTACAATCATTTCATCCACACTCAGTTGCAAGTCCCCATATTTCTAAATGAAAGCTAACATATTTTTTTAAATTTATTTCATTCTGTTTTTGTTTTGATTTTTCATTATAAAAAAAAAAAAAACAAGCTTAGCTTATTTCTGTTCTTCTAGTCAAATCATCCCTTTACACTTCAGCCCCACTTCATTGAACCCACAGAATCCAAAAAAACTGAATATTCTTCCAGCCAAAAGAATTCTCAGAAAACTCCAACAGTTATCCAAGAATCAGAATCTCACACTTCTGCTAATGGGAATTCTATGGCAATTCATGCCGCCGACAAATTATTCAAGTCTCATTCTCAGGTGAATCTGACTTTAGATTCACTGTGTGAGTCTTTACCCAAACACGTAAGTGTTCTGCAATCTTCAGTAAGTGTTTAACCTCCTAGTATCCTCACATGTGTTCCATTCACATAACACCACTGACCAATGACATTAAATATTCAAGGCAGAATTTCACAAGGATTTGTGTTCAAAGATCTAGATAAGGATTCGTGTTCAAAGATCTAGATAAGGATTCATATTCTAAGATCTAGATAAGGATCCATATTTCAAGAACTTGTTAATGATCCACTTTCTAAGATAATGGCAGAGATTCTGTGTTGGAATATAATGACACGGATCTGCACCTAAAGATAACAGCAAGGGTCCGCATCCAAAGATAACAAGAAGGATCTTGATAAGGATCCGCATTAAAAGATAATGACAAAGATCCGAATCCAAAGATCTCACTAAGGTTATATTGATAAGATTCTATGTTTAAAGTGTTACATAAGGCCCTGTGCTCAAAGGCATTGATAAGGTTGTGCATTCAGACTCATCAATACAGCCTTATGTTCTGGGGCATTGATATGACTATGTTCCAACATGTTGATAAAGCTGTATATTCAGGGACACTATCTGTCTATATTTCTGAGATGAGGTATTATGTACACTATTTACATTATTCGGGCTATTGTCTATTTATTATTCTTGCTGTATTTATCACAACATTTTGACCGTTGTACACTCCGGCCTTCTTCAGACGGTTGAAATGTTGAACTGAACCCTTTATTTCGTTTGTTGGGGTAAACTGCTCTAGTTCCACATGCCATGTCTAAGGGATGTCAGTTATCTCCTGTTAATTCCCCTCTCCAAGTTCTCTACCGCCTTAACTAGGTATTGAACTCACACCCCTTGGGTACTGTCACTGGATTTAACTAACGCCTTTATCCACTGTGCCATGTGTTCAGAGGCATTGATACAGCAATGTGTTACAGGAGTTCTGGGGCATTAATATGGCCATATGTTGGACCTCAATACAATTGTGTGTTCCAGGACATTGATACTCTTCTCAGTAGAATATTCTGCTGTGAGTATCACATGATGTACATGCATTTGTAGTGACTTTATAGACTTTATACTTCATTTGGAAACTGTTTTATGTTTATAGACCTTTAATAAGTTAGTCTGATAAAAGGCCATTAAAATAGAGCACCTACTGCGGATCAAACTCACTATTAACAGCCTGCAAGACATACTTACTCTGTAGTAGGTATTTACTTTGCAAGGCCATAAACAGTGTTAGCACTCAACATCAACCACACTAGCAATGATTTGCAAAAGAAGCTTAACTATAGCTGTATACATAAACCGCCCAAGTAAATAGAAAATTGGGTCTAGTCTGACACAAGGTTTCAGAAAAGGAGTATTTACAAAGAACAAACCTCTTTTTACACAGACGTACAAAATTAGCTTGTTAACCATCACTTAATATCTAAATACAGGAATCCCTCGATTTGTGTGGCTAATTTGTACATCAGTAACTATAAAAAAAATTAATTTTCAATTACGATGGTTAAACTGAAGACTGTTTCATCTCACTAATCAAGCATTATGTCTTCATCAATCGAATTTTGGTATATAAAAATTTTAGCACACTAATCGAAAATGCATTAATCAAGAGATGCCTGTATAGTAAGTTTTTGCAAACAAAAGTATAAACAGATGGAAAACTGCCCTTGACCCACAACAAAATGTCACTTAATACATTCAATAGTTCAGTAGATGAAGACTAACAAACTTTGATATTTATAAAACTACAATTGCTATTACTATTAGGTTTACAACAGTGCTATTACCTAATATAGTGCGTGAGCATCAATACTGTTTGTGCTATTAGTATTACTAATACAACTCACTATCTTTTAGACAAAACTTAGTTATGCTATTAAAAGCTTGACTTAACTTTTTCATGTTAAAATCTCATCATGGCTTTTCCTTCTTTCCACGAGAGCAAAAATATCTTCCATCACAACTTTTAGTTAGCTGTCTATGCTACCGCTGGCTCAGTTTTCAGTAGCTCATTTAATGTCTTGGCTTACAGCCACATCGTGTCAAAATGCCAGTTCAATATGATAATGAAGGTTAAGCAATGCTAAACCTGGTCAGTATCTGGATGGGTGACCACTTCAGAATACAAGGTGCTGTAAGCTTGAATGTGCAGGTGCTATGTCTTACAGCTACATTACATTGAAACACTGGTTTCCATATGATCACTGAAATTAAGCAACATTGAGCTTGGTCAATACCTAGGTGGGTGACCACTTGGGAATACCAGGTGCTGTAATGGATAATAGCTTGAAATAATTTATCAGAGAACTGAGTTCCAATTCCTGTTGGCTTCATTGTGTGTGCAAATATCTTTGGGAAATGTATGAATCTACCTCTTCTCCCTGCAGCTATGGGTTAATTAGTAAGATTTGTATCACTAAACCCATTATTATCCCTCTCCCAAATTCTTACAATCTAAAAATATTTTCTGGCTTTAAATAACTAGCAAAAGGTTGATCAGTCATAGAAAATGAAAGAATGAATCAATCATCATTTTGCCCTCTTATCTAGAATAAGATAATTCATCCTAATTAAAAATGCCTCAATTAAAATTTAATTAACACCTTCAAGATGAAAATTCTGATAATGCATATCTTCCAAAGATAAAACAAGTGGGGTTTTCCTGCAGATTAATTAATATAATTGAAAATCACTATTATTAATCACAGCTGCGTGTTGAGAACAAAATGTAGACAAGGTGGTAAATGTCAAAAAGGGGGACATTATGTAATTAGTGTCATTTGTGACATGCCAGTCTGACATATTTTCTATGAAATTTCTCAGACATTCAGGCTGGTAAATATTGTTAATACTGTTTATTATAAACAGAGTGTTTAATTATAAACAGAGTGTTTAATTAAATATTAAATAATTTATTATAAACAGAGTGTTTAATTAAATATTCGTATCTATAAAAATAACATATAAACAATAAATATATTAAAATAATATACCACAATATATGACATTATATATATATATATATATATATATATATATATATATATGTATATATATATAAATGAACAGGATAAAAAATTTTATACACACATAAATACTTGGACATACATAAGTATATTTATTCCTAAGGCGTTATAAATAGAGTGCTCAATGTTATGAAACAGAGCTATTAAGTTTATATTAGTGAATATACATAATATCTATCATTGATAACACTATTCAGAGTTTCATGCAGTTTATACAATCTTCAGGTGTGGATTTTGACTGTTATCTATCGTGTTTTCATGATGGTGATTCAAAAGTGGGTTTACAAACTTGTCTATTTAAAATATAGAATTAACCCAATTTTGAATGATCATCATGAGAACGCAACAGATAATGGTCAGAATCCACAACAGAAGATTGGATGAACTGCATGAAACTCCGAATAGTGTTATCAACATTGGATATTATGCATATTCACTAATATATATATATATATATATATATATATATATATATATATATATATATATATATATATATATATATATAACAATACAATGTAAATAGTGCATAGATTGTTCAGGAGTATAAGACTCAGGTAAAAAAGGCAGAGAAATTCTAGGAAAAAAAAATGCATAAAACGCACCTGATTTTACAGAAAAAAATGGCCAAAACTTGTGAAAAAGGAAGAGAAAAAATGAAAAAAACAAACATGATAGTGATTGTTTGTAAAACTTATAAAGGTGTTTATTGTGGAACAGTTATTGCATTTCAATAAAAAAAAATAGTTTTTGATTTTTATTTTGAAATTATGCATCATTTTTGTAATTTTTCTTATCATGAATAATATTTTTACCTTTGAATGATTTCCAAAACTCACATCGATGTTGACTCAATGAAAGCCAGAAGAAATACAGAACCGGACAATACTTTGAGAAACATTATGAAAGATTTATCTCATTTGTTACAATCCATCTTTAGACAAATATTATCTTTCCAGTAAACAAATAAATCCAATTTTATTTGACTTTTTTGTCCATTTTGAGTTCTGGAAAAACTAGAATTGAGTTCTGAACTAAAGTATAGAGACACAACAGATCTTTGGAAATAAAGAAACCTGCATCTTACACACACAGAATTACAGTTAAATTTTAATATAGAAGTATTTTTGGTGGCTATGAACTAAGTGACTTAAGTATTTTTAAGTAAGAATTAAGAATATATCATTTTTTTACCAGTACCTCCCAGATTACAAGACAGAGGGAAATATTCTCTTCGCATTCAATTCTTGGAATCAACATGGTTCTGTAAAATCAAACAATACCAGAAACATCTAAAAAGTAATTTACATGCATAATTAAAGTTTTAGGAATAAGTATAATAATAGCAAGGATTTGCATGTGGTGTGATGGTTAACAATCCAGAGTTTACATTCAGTTTTCCCTGGGGAAAAGCATGAATTTAATGCAGGTAAATAGCAAAACAGTTGGAGCCCTCTAACCTTGTAAAGGCAGTTTATCTGAGGTATTGGTCAGCTTGTAATCTGAGCCTCATAAAAAGATATCATTTTGCTACGGAGAACAGAGCAGCTTCACTTGACATGATTACAGTTTTTTTTTAAATCTTGAAGGAGTTTGTAGGAATTTCAGTAAAATTAAATTTGTCACAACAGAACTGTATTTTCTACTTTCAAACGCCATAAAGGATTTGTGATCTTCATTTCATTTGTTTTTATATCTTGCAAATACAATCTTCATGTATGGGCAAGTTTTTTAACTAACACCACATAACAACTTCAGCCACATCAAATAATCATAACTGACTTTCATTTGCAAACATCACCAAACTCTGCTTCATTGCATATAAAAAATGCAATAACCATTCATTATTTACAATCAAACTAATATCCTCATTGTTATTGTTATTACTTATATTATTTGCAATTTTTGGACTGTTATCCTCATCTTCATTGCCATATTCACAACGTTTCGGCCATTGTACACTCCGGCCTTCTTCAGGTGATTGGAATTTTGAACTGAACCCTTTATTTTTGTCAAACAATCACATGGTCAAGATAAACACTCAGTTGTGGAGCAAGCTGAGTGAATACTAATTCAACATTGAGAAAGAGAGCTATTTATAGTGCAATGGAGCATCTCATTATGCTAAAATGGGATAGTCCATTGCTTGGGCTGTGATTGGCTGCTGGTACCTGAGTGGAAGTATTTCTATATAAATACTAGCATGATTTCTCAGTTAGTTTGCAGGGTTTGTATTAAGTTACAACCTGCTTTATTTTTGTCTGCCAGCTGGATGCTAGCTGGGACTCTTACGCCGGTAAGTGTTGTTTATTATTGTTATTCTACAATCCACCAAGGTAGATTGTTCTAGCTCCACGTGCCATGCCTCTTCTGGATGTCTCAGTTATTTCCCTTTAACTAAACTCTACAACCTTTTGGTTCACCACTGCTGTAGCTTGGTACTGAACTCACAATTATTTGGGTTTTGTCACTGGATCATGTGTCCTATAATCTTAAGTATAGGGTCAACCACTATCTTTCCCCCATGAACTGTGCCTCTTATTCAGCAACTTTTGAATGGCTCTTGAGCTTTGTACAGGGTGAAAATGTAAAAAAAAAGTACTGCTCAATTATTGTTGATCCTGTTAACACTGTTTCTGTACAACCCAGCCCTCACAGTGAGTAGGAACGAGGGTTGTAATAACTAAACAGTAATAAAAATACTGCAAGATGAGATATGCCTAGACATAGCAGGGCATGAACAATATACTCTTGTAGATTTAATAAAGGGTTCAGTTAAGAATTCCCTGTAGGTTATCTGGATTAACAGACTTCTGATGAAGACCAGAGGGCAGAACAGCTGAAATGCTGTGATAATAACAACAAAGATGAGGATATTAATCTGACTGTAAATAATGTAAATAATAACTCTTCATTTGAGAAATTCACAGAAATGACCACTAAATTCCTCATTTTTAAACTTCAGTGATAATTCTTTACTTTTTATGATCTTTCTTCCCTTTTTTCAGTTTTTCTTTTTTATTTGAATTTTGTTTTATATTTTGAACTCTAAAATGTCACATTGCTGATGCCACAGACTGTTTCTTTTTGTATTTTGAATGATAAATTAATGAAATTTCTGTTGTCAATTTGCAATTTTTTATTTTGTTTTGCTTTTGTTTTTACAGTCTTGCAGTTTCCAAAATTAGTTTATTATTGCTTTCTTTTGTTGTTCTCTGTCATTCGTACAATGTTTACTTCTTACAGGTGATATTAGTTGTAAATAACAAAGTCTTGCTTTTAGGGCATAAAGTAAAATAAAATAAAATCTCAAGTCTTCAAAATAGCCAAGATCATATCTCACTAGAAGTTTCTTCATTGTAGTATGACTAAGAAGATACTTGATTGTGATTAAGAAGATACTTGATTGTGACTAAGAAGATACTTGATTGTGACTAAGAAGATACTTGATTGTGATTAAGAAGATACTTGATTGTGACTAAGAAGATACTTGATTGATATGCAATATGATCAGTGACTACTATAATTATACAATGATTGTTATTATTATACTACTATTTTTATTATTATTTAATTGATTAAATTTAAAAATTAAGATTAATTTCTATTATCATTATTTTTTTATTTTCATTATTATTTAATAAAATTTAAAAATTAATATTAATTTTTATTATTATTATTTTTTATTTTTTTTTTTATTATTTAATTAATTAAATTTAAAAATTAAGATTAATTTTTACATTAATTTAAAAAAATTCAGTTTATTTATTATTATTATTGTTTATGTGTTATGTTTCCTGCTTTGTATCGTGTAGAAACTGGTCAAAATTATGGTCTTTAGGCCCTATAGGAGAATTGTCATTTAATTGATAGCCCTTTTCTTAGTATATGGGATGTTCCTAGTAGGGCGATTTTTGGGCAACTTGTATGTTGATGTTACTTGGGACACTATTAGTAAATTTGTCCATTTCTTTTCTCATGAATCCCAGTGCTCCGATTACTATTGGTACAGTCACAGTCTTCATTCCCCACATCCTGTTAATCTTGATCCCCAGAACCTTGTATTTGGACAATTTCTTGATAATTTTTATGGAGGTACCATGACAATGAAATTTATATTTACAGTAAAACTAAGAAATGGGTTTTTTACTTTGTGAAAAGGATGTGGTATAAATTGTATATAGGAAGCTCAGGAGGAAAAAAGAAACTGTCAGTTTCTTCTTTTTTTTAATCATTTTACTACAAGCAT